ACTCATATCTAAACAGTTTATCAGTTAATATTTTCTCAGAGCCCCAACAGTTATGTTTTACACATTATGCCTTCACCAATACCCATAAGCACAAAACTTATTTTCTCAATTGGAAAGGAGCTGATTAAAACCAATTTTTTGTTTCAAGAAATCCATTAGTTCACTTGATCAAAATGAAATGGGTGTGGTAAATGTAGATTGGCTGATGTGAATGGCCCAAAAGCTTTGGCCCTAACACTTCCCAATTGTCCATTTCAATTAAGTTTCTATAAAGAGCATAAAATAAACTTAATTTGAAATGTGTTCATGGTATTTGCCTCTTTTTTTTTTTTTTTTTTTTTTTTTAAATCTCCTCAAATTCTGTGGATAAGTTATAAGATTTAATTATAACTTAAGAATTTATTCAGGAGTAGCATCTTCATTTTTTTTAAAGAAAAAAATTACTAAAAAATGAAGACAATCATGTGAATCAATCATGAAGTGCATTATCCTATTCTATAGAAGATAGGCTTTTTGTTTATCTTAATGTATGCCTTTTATAGAAACGTTGATGCTTTTTGTTTGTATAAGGTACATTGAAACCAAAAGAGTTATATAATGATTTTATTCCCTACTGGAAGTGGTTCTATCTTATCCAATATGATAAATGTCAGTTGGTTCATGTTCTCATTCTTTATTTTGCTGTCATGTTCAAAGCAATTCTACAACAAAATTCATAAAAATTTGAGCTGCTGCTTTGAATATAACACATTTCCTTTGTGTGGATTTACCCAATTTCTAGAATTTCTCTCCTTGATCCCCCCCCCCGCCAATAATTAATGATAAAATGGAAAACATTCCAATTTGTAAAATCCTGAAATTAATTTTCATGTCTAATAACATTCTTTGGCTTTTCAAAATTTTAGAAGTCACTTTATTATACAACCTGTCAAACCCTTGAATGACTGTGGCTTAGAATTTTTCATGGTTGAAAAAATAATTTTTTTTTTTTTTTTAAATTTTGTTTTCAAATATTTGTTTACTGTTAAAAGGCTTAATTTTATTTCAAAATTCAATGTTCATTAATTTACTTTCATAAATTTCTATATCAGTATTCCTCAAATAATTTTCAGTGCATTTTTTTCAGTCATAAAATTATTAAACATTTGAATTGCAAAAAAAAAAAAAAAAAGCCAAAAATGTTATCAAAACTTAAACCTTTTTCTTTTCAATATGGTAATACCCAAGCATTGATAATTTCTCTTTAGTTTGGAACCTTTACCTGTGATGCCTATTAAATATTGTTGAAATAATAAAAAAAAAAAATATTTTGTCATCTACCAAGGACTAATTTTTTGTCAAACTATCACCTCTCCAGATGATTTACACCCACTACAGAAACAAAAACTTTAAGATAGCACAACAACAAACATTCCATGTGTTATTTGTTGACAGTTTCAATTGTCTTATTGAGTAGACTAATGTTTGTTTTTCAACAGCTATCATGGACAAATTAGTGGAAAAAAAGTTTAATTCTTTCACTTGCAGATTATTTTCTATGCTTTATGTTATTTACAATAAATGATCGTTACACTCTGTATTTACTGGATTTAATTGTACCTTTTTTTTTTTTTTTTTTAAGGTTTTGATCTATGGCTGTATATTTTAAAAATCCAGAGACAAAGAAACTAATTAGAAACAATATTTTCAAAAGGAGCAATTTCCATTGTTTTTTTTTATATATATATATATACTTATGCACAATTATTTCATAGTCTGAAGTCTAATTTAAAATTGTTAAAATTTGCCTTAAGCAACAAAAATTAAGTTCAAATAATTTTACAATAGAACATTAATTAGAAAAGTATTTCCAGAAAAACGCTCGTTTTATATTAACTAGAATATTTTTGATTTTGGATATGGACTTAAATGGATGTCTAGGAAGGACGAGTAGGATGATTATTAAATGAATTTGTTTCAGCATAATAATCAAGAATGTACAATACTTCATAAAAATTATGGCCTGCAAACAATATTCAGCCCTCTCTGAAAATATTTTATAAAATATCATTCAGCACAGAAATACATCAGAATTTCAGTAGTTTTCCTTATATTATGAAAATAATTATTCTATTTGTACCTTCAATTCTTTTTTGCTGAAAAGCATTCATATGAATGTTATGCACACAATAAGCTAGTTTGAAGTTAAGCCAGTTTGACAAACAAATATCTTAATACCCAGAGCTGTGGAATAGGAACACAAAACCTTTGATTCTGACTCCTCTTTATGCAATTAAGTGATTTTGGCCTACAAATCTCAGAAAGCCTATGCATACGCACCTATATCATTATAATTGGTTTACATCAAAGAATAAAGATATTGTGGCTTTTATATCATACCTATTCATTCTTCAATATTTTATAACAGAATTAGAGACAAAATCTTTGAAAGAATATCGAAGAAATAACAATAAAAATGCTATAATGTAAGACTTTTTACATATATATATATATATATATATGCAAATAAGAAATAAGTACAGAACAAAGATAAAACTACTTTATAACAGAAGTTGAAATATAATCTTTTACAGGGTGTAAAAGACAACAAAAATAAAAATTCTATAATGTAAGACTTTTTACATAAAGAGTAAATTCAAATGGAGTCAGAGTCTGAGTGTATAGTTTTACCATCTCCAACTCCAGTGCCCCCCCCACCTCCCATAATTGCTTCCAACTAACTCTTCAGCCCTGTTAATTTCTCTAGTCAATTACAGAATATAGTAAAGATTACAAATATTGGTCATCTTGTCATAACAAATGAACTGAAAAATGCTGTTTACACCTCAAAACGATTATTTATAATCATGCATGCACAATACTGCAGGCTCTTGGTTTTATTTTGGTTGATTGCTTCCAAGTTTTTCTTTTTGTATAAAAGCCAAAACCTTATACATCCCAATTTTCTTTTTAAATTCTGGTTATTAAAAAAAAAAAAAAACAACCATATCTTTTTCCTTTTAAATCACATATTGAAAGCTCAATATATATATATATATTAAGCTGCTTTTAAGTTGATAGAATTTTTTTTTTTTCAACAAAAATGGTTTTAATTTGAACTATTCTGGCACAAAACCAGTTGTAGAATATTCAGCTGAAAAAAAAAAAAAAAAAAAGCTCACTAATCCATTCATCATAAATATTTTGTCTAAAAAATTCTACCCCCTCCCTTTCTTTAAGTTCTTTTACTATTATTCTCACTCTTCAAATTCCCAGCATAAAATTTTAAAAAAAAAAAAAAAAAGCTGGAGGAACACTATCATTATCAATAACATTCCATTGGTGTCCTATATTTCATTAATTTTAGGAACAGTGTTTAAAAATAAGTTCTAAAAAATTCTGAAAACACTGTATATGTGTGCTTCATATTTATCTCTGGGAATTTAATGGTAACTACATACCCTTATCCATTTATCACAATTGAGTGCTTGTCAATACACAGATTGGTTTTTGACAGTATATACAAATTTTAATCTTTACTGGATTTTCTTCTACTGTCGCTAAGTGCCAGACAAAACAAAGCTTAGAAAATTTCTATTTTCGTGTAGGAGGAAAAGAAAGTATATAATGGCTATTGACTTTATGGCAGGTAAGTAAAGACTAGTTTCTCTGCTTCTAATAAAATTATCCATGCAGTACTTGTACTTGGTGCACAAAATTTTTTTTTATAAACAAATTTACATATTAAAATATTATTTGATAGAGAAAGTGCAATGGGATGAAAAAAAGGAAAATAGAATTAAAGAATGGGGGACAATTCCAAATGTCTTTAGAAGTTTATGCTTGCTGGTATTTGATTTAAAATAAAAAAAATTCATATATAAAAAACACAAAAAAATCCAACAAATGTAATAAACTTTATTGATATTTTAATACCAAAGAGAACCAGATATTTTGGCATTTAGAATAAAATTACTAGAGAATACATTTAAAGTTCTTTTAGACAATTTTATCACAGCTTTTTGTGCTTTGATAATATCTGAGGATGGCTGAGAATATGTATAAATTATCTCTGATGGCTGAGATAGGAAGTGTTTTAATTAGACTTTCTAAAATAAAAAATGATTTCATAAATTAAGAAAATTATTTCAAACATGTGAAACTGATCAAAATAATATTCAAATGTTTTAAACAAGGCAAATTGTTCAAATTGGGAAGATAAAATTTAGAAGAGAACATAAGTAGGGGTGGGGGTGTTTCTGCTATCCAAAACTTATAGGTGGCTTTGAGGAAAATAAATAAAAAATAAAATAATCAACCCTAGTTTCAGTGTCTTAATTATTTAAGCAAAATAAAATTCAAAGTCAATATTTGGTAAAATAATATTCATACCATTTTAAAATGAAAAAAATATTAAAAATTCAATTTTCAAACTGTACACTCGTTCCAAAAATTTCTCAGCTGTAATCGCCATCTCCCAAATCAATTAAGATCTTTTTTTTTTTTTTAAGCAAGAGTTTTATGCCATTGTCCAGATACCATTACACAATGGTACAAATAAAACACCAGAAAGGCAAACCTGGCAGTAGGGCAACAGCAGAATGATTTTTGACATCAATAACCATAGCCGTTAAGATAGATAGGAGTGCATGTACTGGTTTTGCATTGTTAATTTGATCAAATCCTTCAATACTCCTGTGTTACAAGATGGTATCATTTCTTCATGTCACTAAAGCAAGTGCAGAATTCAAGATATCAATTCTGTATTAACTTCTTTTAAAAGGTTAACTTTTGTTTTTATTAGATTCATGAAAAGAATTGACTTGCACACCACTTTAGAATGAACGTGCAGTTCAACTAACTTCTTCATCAATGAATGTGTTTTTCATTTGCAAGATGAACTATTTGGCAGTAATAGAGAGAAAAGTAAATGAGAGCAAATCAATGAACTTTGTGATGAATGTGTTGGTATGAAAGCCTATAAATACAAAGTACTTACTTTGGCTTCAGCAGCCAAAGATTCAACTCACATTAATCTCGGATATTTTTGAGCAAACATTCTCTATTTGTTGCTTTGTTTCTGATTTACCATCACATGTTGCTCTCTCTCCGCTGTCATGTTCATTGTCATCCGGTTCCTCAGTTATCTCCCCTGCAGAGTTGTTCTCAACGCTGTCACAGTCTTCTTCCTCAGATTCCTCTTCAGTTTCATCACTGTCTGACACAGGAATATGAGTTGGGTAAACATATCTGTTGTAATTGTTTACCATGCATCCAAGATCTTCAGCATCAGAATCAGAGTCAGAGGGCGGCAACATGTCTGCTGGAATTTGCCCCTCATCTTTCTTCCCCACGACATATTTAGCAAATGCTTCTGGCCTGAAAAAAAAAAATGTTAAAAAATCAAAAACCATATACATACACACACAAACGGCATTTTTTCCATGCTAATTACAATTCTAATCCCACCAGTTTTACCTTTATTCAATCAAATATCAATTGCATTGTTTATATTTCAACAAAGTGAAACTGCACTGAAAAATGAATTTGTCAGAATAATTTCAAGCTCAACTAAGCTTCCATGATGAATTCCATAATTTCAATACTTCACAGATATATTTTAATTGCCTCAGAGTTACACACAATTTTAACATTTCAGCAATAGAGCTTCAGTGACAATATTACATTGCAGTGTTTTGTGATAACCAGATAAGGGTCATATGAAAAGGAACTGTTTTGACTAACAAAATAAAGCCTCTCCACCTAGATTATCATCACTGATGGTTTAGGGATTTTATTTCTCAGACTTTTTAGATATACATATTTACATTTTTCTATTGTTGCTTTTTCATAAGTTTTAAACTTTCTTCAGTGCAAGAAGAATTATTTTCTGATAAAAGTTTCTATGACTGAAGTTCTATTTATATTCTAGTTACCCTAAACACACACAATAGTGTCAAAGTTTAAGCAGAATGTTGAACCTATAGAAAATGACCATTACAAACTTCTTAAAAAAGTTTCAGACTATATATACATTTCCAAAAGATAATTTATCCTCCCACCTACACATAAGAGATTTTATTTTTAATGATATAGTTAAAGTAATAATGAATACACTGAAAAATTTGCTCTTATTACATACCTGCTTAACACAAGCCTTTAACTTAAAATCAAAACTTTCTGAGAGAAAAGCTTAGAACTTACCATTTCCCCATACTTTTAATGTAGTTTATTTGCTCCTTGTATAAAATTCGAATTATTTCTGCCTTCACTTTTACACCTTCAGCAATAGGTTCAACAATAAGGAACATTCCTGAAATGAGGGAAAAGAAAAATATAGCAAATGAGATTTAAAATTTATTTTTCCTCTGCATTACCCAATGTCCTTATCAGAATTTATCTGCCAGTAATTAATACTTTAGTTCATGGAATATCAAAAGTATGTGCACACAACATGTAACCGACAGAAAAATGAAAAGCTCTAGGTATTTTTTCAAATGTTAAAATAAAGCAAGAAAAAATTAATTGTTGAACAGTGTACACTTACCTTTCTAACTGCTAAAATAATTCTAGATATAATTTTTGGGGCCTATACCAACTCTTTCAAATTAAAAATTTTGATCTTAATTTATTTAGCAGAAAGAGTACTAATAATTATGAAAAAAAAAAAAAAAATTAGGAATTGTTGTCTTCATAATACCTTCCCACCTACTACAATTAAAGAAAGCCAGACTATGCTGAAAATTGTAAATACTTAAATTTTCTTCTGTAAACATGATACAGTGCAATTTATGGTGAGAAGTTACAATTTTTTTTGAAAATTAAGAACCAATATCTAATTAATACCAATATATCATATACATTTATTGAAATTAAAATTAAAAACACCAGTTTTCACTTTCTTTATCACTGCTGTAAGTATTCAGTCAGTTAAGTGCCATACATGATACACGCTTGGGCGATCATGTCTCTCTCGCTTCATGACTGACTAAATAGAAGATTTCCTGCAGTAGGTTGACTACCAATCAAGGCCATATGACTCAGTCTGTCCTGCTATTTAACCCATAGCTGGGGGAGAAGAGATGGATTCATAGCTTTCCCAAGGGTATTTGTGCATAAGTGAATATAACCAACCAGATTGAAATTTAAACTCAGCCTTTCGATTTCTCATTCCAAGCGGATATCCATTACACCATGATGCACATCCAATGTAAGTATTACAATTGCCAACAGACTAACCTGAGATAATGACAAATATGAAGAAATGTAAAACAAAATATTAATAAAATACACATTTAGTTTTCATTTACTTGACTAGTCTTGTCTTTAAACCAAACTTTTTTTTCTAAACTCAAAGATGGAAACCAAGAAAATGTTTTATGATCAATAGAAGAGAAACCTGAAATTTGTTCCAGATACTTTTTTTATTACCTTTTTTTATGTAAAAATGTTTGCGAAATTTTGTTGGCATGCTGACAAGAAATTCTTCTCCTTTATCATTCCAGACTTCATGTAGGTTATTTCCACGACAGTGTTTCACCTAAAATTAAAATTAAAGACATTAACAGATTTAAGATAAAGCTCAAATAAGGTTTTCAAATTAAATGTTATCAGCATTAGGCTAAGGTGTCATTCTTTGATTTTTATTATAATAAGTTATAAGCTTTGGTCTTGAACTATTTTGGGTCATCTTTGTTTGAATCTATCAACACTAACTTGTTATTGATTTTTTTTTGCTTCTAAAATTGAAGTGAAAACAAAAAAGTCAGCAGTACTCTGGATGATTTCACCTTTCCTTACTTGTATGACATGTGTGTGGCATAATAGGAAAAGTAATAGTGTGGCTGTGACAGCCATAGTATGATGACAAAATTTAACACCATTTCACCACAGGATGATTGTTGAGGCTAGAAAGATGGAGTACTATACATTCAAGGTAGTAAGTGTATGCCATGAAAATACCTGAATTCCAGATAGACATCAGTAGTACATGAAAAATGCAGGTGGCCACAGGTCATGCAAGAGACCCCCAAGCAACAGATGAAAAGTGTAAGCACTCTAAGTGAAACATTGCATCAGATCACATTCAGTGTTGGTGCCACTGTACAGCTACACCTCAAGCTATAGGGTTTTAACTTTTAGTTGTTAACCAACAAGAATAAAGTACAACATAGGTTATTGAACTTTATCTGATCCCAAAATGGTCACCAGTGAACCATACAAGCCTGACACTAAATTCTTGGTCAACTGTCAGTTTGTGTATTGAAGAGACTGCATGAGGCAATGAACCCAACACTTGTGCAGGCTGTTGTGCAAGTTGCTGATGACACTGTAATGGTGTGTGTGATGTTTTCTGTTGGAACTGAAAAGGACCACCAGTGAAACTAGATCCTGTCTTGGCAGGTATGACAAAAACAGATTTTACTGACTACTTGCCAACATTCCCTTATGATGGTTTGTTCTACTGAGATAACACTCATTGTGAGTAGGTGACAAGAAATTGGTTCCAGGAACACTAAGTAAACCTTCAGTGTTTTTGCTTGCATCTTCCACAAGAAAAAGATGATTAACGTAAAAATATAATCTTATGTTATGCTGTGCATCAGGTGGGATTGAAAAGGAATCCTGTACTACAGGCTTCTGCCAAGTAAACAATCAACTGATTCTAAAAAGTACTGCTCACAACTGGACAGATTAAAAAGCAGTGTAGAATTAGATTTCTATATTTTGTTTTAAACCTGTTAAAAGTGGATCACAGCTAAGTATTCTCAGTTTGTGCTGAACCAATTAAAATCGTCTCCAGAGTTCAGTATGAAACAATGCTTTCTGTTTGGTCCATAAATAATAATGTCATGTTTCTTCCTACCCCGCACGGTTGACTTCGAGTTGACCTGTTCATAGTACAACATGCCAAAAAAAATCTAAATGTGTTCTCAAGCCCCCATGTGATCAAGAAAACTCATAAATATGAAACTTTAACATGACTTAGTGAGTGAGGCTTTAAAATAATCAACTCGTCACACGAATCCATGAAACCCAACTTCCTCCCTAAAAGTTAATTTTTATTAACATCAACCCGGCTTGTGGAATTCAATTTCTTTCAACATCAACTAGTGACGAATTCAACCAAGACAAGATTCAGAAACCAACTCACTCAATATCTTAAAGGAAATCGTAACTATATCAAAGTGAGACAACTCTACAGTAAGTCAAACAATATATTTCATTCAGTTATTTAACCATCTGCAACATAAACTGTTTAATTTCTTACCAGATCTATAGAATAACAACTTTTATATTAACCTTGTGATCACATAACCAAGAACTCTAAAGTGTTTAAACAATGTGTACTTGTTAATGTTATATAAAAATAATATTTGTTAAAATAAATATCTGCCTATTTGATTATTTCTCTTGCTTGTTGTTGTCATTGTTGCATTTGATTTAGTAAAAATAGTAAAGGGTCAGTTTATATTTGTCACCGATACAGATTGGCTAACCCACTACAGCAGCAATTCAAGAAACACCCAGAATTGGCGAACAGGAAAGGTGTTGTTTTCTATCAGGATAGTGCCAGACTTCACGTTCACAATTGTCACCAGGGTCCTTGGCCTTTTTAGCAAAAAACATAAATAAGTTTAGTGAAGATTTGCAAAGCTTAACCTACCTACCGCCACTTTATTTTTATAAAAGTTTATTATCCTCATCTGTTGAAGCAGAGAACAGAGGAAAGAAAGAGTAAAAAAAACAAAAAAAAAAACTGCAAAAATCATTAGTGAGTATAAAAGGCCAGCAGTCGGACAATCGTAGGAGAAAGGGAAACAGTAGATGTGAGAAAACATGCCCCACATTTCGAGATGACTAGTACAGTTTGATGTATAAAAACAAGAAGGCAATTCTCATTTTGAGACTCTTCTTGGAGTTACGTCCAGAAATGCTCTTGTTATTTCAATCAATCCCACATACATAACTCTTGTCTTTTAGAACACTAGACATTCCAATTCTTTTAAGTTTTAGACGAGTGGAATTTCTAAAAACACTTTTGCCAATTTATGTGAACGTATTTAAAAAAGAAGAAAAAAAATCACGATTTGGAAAGAGATCTGATGAGGAAATAGGACTTCTTAGAGTTGATATGAAACTTGGACAATTTCGTAGTTTAACGCCCCGAATTTTGGAAGTGCAATTGTTGAGGTTAGTTTATCAAATTCAAATCTAAAATATCAATATTCAATCATCTTTTCGACACATCAATATATTTTCACAGCTATTTGTATTTTTAACCATACAAATTCAAAGAAGTGTGTTCCCAATAATAAAACTAGAAAATACACATTAAATAGTAAAACTAAATACACATATAGCTGATGAAGTCTGGTAAAGATTTTTTACACTTTGACTTTTGCTTAGTCTTCTTGTGTTCTAAGTGTCCTTAAAAAAACTTAAAAAAAAACAATCATTTGGGACGCTAAGCTACAATGTCGCCAAGGTTTTTACAGCAATAGTTGGTTAATTTACTGGTAGCTTGTAATTGTAAAAAATGGATTTGATTTGTGTACTGTAAATCCTTTCGAAATCATACAAAGAAATCTACTTCTTTTATTCGTTGTGTTGTGACTTATAAGTCACTTACAAAACTCCACATAACGAAACAAAACTGCATTTCTTGGCTTTATTTTACCGAGTAGTTCCATTTAAAACGATGAATCTTGCATTTCTTATTTAGTTTGAATTAAAAATGTATAGAGACTCATTATTTACAATATGTTTGACAGTAAAGTAAGATAATTATTTTTAGTTATGAACTATACGAGCGAGATGCAGCTAAATATTTTTTTAAATTGGATTTTTAATCTTACCATCACAATAAATTGGTCTTTTTCAGGAACAACAAATTCGTACAACAGTTCTTTTTCTACATACTTCCATTTTGTAACATGCGTCATGTTTCTTATTTTAAATTGATTTTTTTTTTCAATCAATACCAAACAACCACTGAGTATAAAAGCGCTGATCCACATTAAACGGCCACGTGGTTTCTTAATAAATTCTGTTACAACCAGAAGTGTTCACGTCGTTTTTATATGCACAGAAGAGGATTCTGGGAAATTGAGCTTGTTTCCGTAACGTAGCTTGTTTTCGTATGACTATAATTTGCTTCATGTTTTTAATATTTATTTGCTATATAAATAATAAGTTCTTAATTTTTCTACGTAATCTAAACTAAAAAGAAATAAGAGGAATTAATTGCTGACTTTGTCTCTTAGTCTTAATTAATAAATTTAAAAAGAAAAACGATAAGTTAAAGGGAGACAAATCCATCTTCTTAACGCAATTTTGAAATTGACACAGAAAATTGAATTTGACATATTGTTAATTTTAATGTAATAGTAATAACTAATTAAAATTTAGAACCAAAGTTAAATTAATCCTAAAATTTGATCCTGTGTGGCATTTTCCCTATTATATTTAAATTATGACGAGTTAGTGACTGAGTCAAACCAATCTAATGATAAAAAAAACAAATGGATGGCGGTTTTTTTCCGAAATAAAAATGAAAGCAAAAAATTGCTACTCCCCGTTTTAAAATATTTGTAACAAATCAAAGAATTATCAGATTGAGACGGAATTTTCAGTACTTATTCATTAATGAATTATATACTGAATTTGATTAGAAAACTTTGTGTAAATATATTTGGGCGTCTGTTTCTCTTCCCGATATCTCGTGTAGGGGAGGGGGGCTTCAATAAGTTTTTTTGAAGTTAAAAAAATTGCTGAAGATGTGATTTCAGTATAAAAAATTATCAAATCTTAAGTGTGAACAAACTGAAAATTAATATCTTACCAAAGATAATTCAATAAAACTCTTTTTTAAAGAATTGGTGCTTGCCAAACACATTCTTGACGAAAGGACAGAAAAAAAAATCTGCATTTAAATATTTTTATTTTATAATTTAATTACTTGTAATTTTCCAATGCGATTTTGAAATTCATCCCGTTTCTGTTTACCACAACAATTTCTTTTATTAATTTAAGACATGTTTGAAGAATCGAAAAATGTAAAATTTAATGCCATTTTCAAATGTGAACCCTTTTTAAAGAATTTTATTTTATTTTCTTCCTTTTAGCAACTGTTAGATTATTTTTGTATAGGTGTACAAAAGGGAAATAATTCTGATTTTTTGTCTTTGATCATTCTAAGTTTCATAAAACTAAAAGCATATAGAATACAAAAAATATCTTCTTAAATTACTGGTTATGAAGATTATAATAATTTTACAGTAAAAATAAAAATAAAGGCATCACTTGGATGCCAGTGAATAATTAAGAAGGAACGCAATCAATTTGTAATGGCCCAGTGGGTAGATGGACCAATACTATTTATACTATTATACTTTCAACGTATAGGATTCAAGTAAACAACAAAACTCTAAATGTGAATTAACAAGTATATATTGAAATAACATACAAGGACAAACATGCAAGGAAATTGTATTCAATGTATAGATTAAGGGAAATAAGTTGTTCCCCTTTAACTGTATTTTGATTTGTAATTGATTGTTCGAAAAAGGTTCTCGTGAGAGAAAAATGTTCAGGAATCAACATTAGAACAAAGGTCTGTTTGTTAGAATAGATAAGACAAGAATACAATTGATCAGAAATGTGTTGTGTTATAGAATGGTTCGAAATTAACAGAATCCTGGTTGATTGAGCTTGGCTAAGTCACAGAGAGAAGTGTGAGTTTATATTACAAAATTCTGTGTCTTTATGTGCGTTTGAAATGTTATGTCTAAGATCGTGGACTCATTTGGACAGGCGAAATTTACTGATGACTTGTGAAAAAGTCGCCTCTTTTAAGTAAAAAGGATAGGCTCCCACAGAAGCGCGGGAAAAGGTTAATCTTGCATTAAAAATATGTGATTGGTTAAAAATAAACCAATCACTACATTCGTACTAACAAAACAGGCAAGCAAGCTCAAAACCGAAGGATTCAAAGAAATAATTGCGATGGCTAAATTGTCCTATAGAAAAGTAGTATTGATTTATTAACCAATCGCAGACGAATAAAATGCGGGCATGGAAAAACATAGCAACCGCTACAATTTTATTAACACATGATTCAATAACTCTTTAATAATGTTGCTCATTTTTTTTTTGTTAGTAGCAACTCCATTATTTTTTAATTAATACATTTTCTTAAATTCAAAATGATTTTAAAAAATCACATTGAATACATTTATATATTTTATAATATGACATAGGCAAGAAAATAATAAAAAAATTATTTTGATTTTTTTTTTATTTCCCTGCATATTTTATAAATTAATCTCAAAAGTATCATTTTATTAAAAATAAATATGTGTAGCAGACCCTCGGCCCCACGTATTCTGCTTCAAAAACCGATGAGGTCACGAGAGGCCCGCTAGCATTTTTTAGAACGTTAAATCTGACAAGGTGAAACAACATAGACGACAGAACGAGGATATATAAGATATAAGCTAATTTAAAGCCTAAAAGTAATAAAGAATTAGAGGTTTTGGTCGGAAGCGGTAGATTCGCAGATGTTCCGGTCCAGGCATTCACTGTCAAGTTGGCAGGAGACAGGTGGTTTACCCAAATGCTGGTAAAACCAGATGATCACTGTAACAAAGTTGGTTGTTGACCTAATGAGTTTGGTCATTGTATTTGAGGTTGATGTTCTTTCGTTGTAAGGATGCCAACTTGACGTGTTGGGAACACACACACAACACACGTTGCAATGATATTCGGGGCATATCAAAAGGTCCAGTGCATGTATGTTATGTGTCTTCGCCATTGTATAGTAACCTCCTTAATAACACGCAACGTAGTGTCTTAGAAACTTATTTCTGTTGCAGGCACCATAGGGGCAAACACACACACACACAAACATATTCGTACAAGGAGCCAAGTAATGCAAGGAGAGAAGAAAGAAATAATTTTAACTATCGTCAAGTTGGCAGACAAAAAAATGGGAGCGTAATTTAATCGCGCAGGCGGGTCCACGTCCTGGCCATGGAGGCCAGGAGCCTGCATACCGACCATTTCAGTTGCCGACCCTAAATTTAGTGAGTTATCACTGTCTTGTGGTAAGGGAGACTAGCAAGAGAATTGGTAAGCTAACACAGTAAAGTCTAAAAAAAAAAAATGAGTAGAGCTTAGCTAAAAGAAAACCAAAGCCTAAAATGCCTAGAAGTATATTATATATACTAGGTTCGTAATATAACTAAACTGAAAAAGTAACTTGCTAGTCTCTACCTCGGGTTAACAGCATGTATATATATATGTAACCAAAAGGTCAAGGTCGAAATGACCTGTTTCTCTTCCGGTTTAAGGAGCCAAGGAGGAGGTAACTTCGACATATGTACTTCTAATATATAACAAATAAAATTCATTCTGCTAAGTTTAATAAAAATATATAGAATAAAATATTATATTCTTAAATTATTGATTATATAAGGCTAAAGGTAATTTTTTTTTAAACATGAGTATCAATTTCTTGATTATTACACATGCTGGTATTCTGTATTTCTATAATCATTTTTTTTAATTTTTTGTGCACATTTTAAGTCATGGGTTTTTGTTTTTAACCTCTGACTCCACAGGATTCCATGAGTATAATAAACATTATTTTTATTAAGTTTTAAGTAAAAAGTAAACATTACTTTTGCACAATCCAGTTAACAAAATCCACTTAACTAAAATTTATTAAACAATTTTCAAAACATATCTCTAAAACAAATTTCGGATTTTTTAAAGATTTTTAAATTTGTTGTTTACATTTTTCATCTATAATTGTGGTTTAATAAGATAAGTAAACATACCAATGTTTTAAAATACCTAAAAACTTTACAAATGGAAATTAATTTATCTTTTAATACAGATTAGCTTTATCATTCAAATAAAACCAAAATTTAACTTCAAAAAAGACATCTAGATTATTTAAAATGTGTTTTTCAGGTTTTTACTATTTTTGAAAAATACTATTAGTGAATTATATACTGAATTTGATTAGAAAACTTTGTGTAAATATATTTGGACGCCTGATAAGAATTGTTGATTTCAAGGGAGTGTGGCACTGCAAAATCGTTGGTTACCAGTGGAAGTCTATGACACATAACAAACAAAGTGAAGATATTCCCATCAGGTCTCCATGAGAGAAATGAAAATATCAACCATGTTAGAAGCTAGTAACAAGCACAGATCGTCCATTGAATTCTATACTGTTGTGATTGCAATATTTCACTATTTTAAACAATATCAAATATAGAATTTTCAGATCTATCACAGTAAAATCTGTGCCATTTTTACTGGCAAAATTATAACTTAAATTCATTTACCAACATACCAACATAAGAGCATCTGTACATAAAAAATCTACAAAGATGAACACAATCTTTCACTTAAATATTTTCACATTTTAACCTCTTCAATAACATCTTTTTTCTGAAGTATTCATAATAAACACAGTTTCCACAAAAATAGCAGAACATTTTTTTTTTCATTTCTTGGAAGATATTTCTGGAAAGCAAAGATATGAACACAGAGATGATTTATTCAATGTTTATATACAATTTAAAAATATTTCTTCAACCTCTGAAAAAGCAGTGAATCTCTTTTGAACTTTGAGAGCAATTCTTTTTTGTTAACATCTAACCTTCATGCCCACAAAAAACAGTGTGCCAAAAGGATTTTTTTCTCTTGACACTGCTATTATTTTGACCACCTCCACTCCTTGTCAGTGTTTATTGTTTTAAAAAGTGGTGATTAGAATTCTAACAAAACCTAAACAAGATGAAAGTGAATTTATACATTGTTTTTGGTTCTTGCAAAATTTAAAACA